AAACCTTTTCCAAAATATCAAAACAATTTAAAAATTACCTATTAGCTAATCTGTACAAAAAAAAAAAAAAAAAACATTTTGGTTGTAGAGATCTATTAAAAAAGGCATATATATCTTTTATAGAAAACTGGAAGCCTGAATTGATAAATTTCTTTTTAAAAAACCTAACATGGAAAAGGAACAGGCTGCTTTATACGAACAATCCACAAAATCAAGAGATGGACCTACTCCCCCACAAAAAAAAAGAAGGCAAATGACTGCAGTTAGTGTGGAACAATTTCTAGAAGACTTATGCTGATGGCAATGTGCTTTTCTGCATATTTTGTCATCATAGTGTTGACTTTGTTTAAGGTGGCTACTATAAAGGATCATATTAAGTGAAAAAAACCATTTAGTAAAAAAGATTTCTAACAAACAACCTACTATGAAACAGAGTACTTACTATTATAACTTTGGTGTAAAGATATGAGAAATGATTTCATGTTTGACTTTTTAAAAATGTGCATGATATATGACATACCCGAAAATAAAATTTACAAGATATGACCATTTTTGTATTTTGAGTATTGTAAGGAAGGTGGTGCTATTTCTAGTGCTAAATGTATAAAGCAACTATATCAATCAAAACAAAGTGCAGATAATCATTTTGCTGCCCTAAAAACAAAGCTTGCCAATGAAACAACTGACCACAGCCTTTTGAATGTGATTGCAAGCAATCAATGGCAGCCATTTCTTATTAATGCTGTCACCATGAAAGAATGCAATCATCAAACTCTAAGTCAGGCTTGCATCTAGGTTGTTATTCATGACGACATTGCATTTGATAACATTACTGCAATTGTAACTGATTCAGCAGCATATTGTAAAGAGGTGCATAGGAATGTTTTATCCAATATATTTGTAAACAGTCATCATGTTTTGTGTTTAGCACACATTTTACATTTTGTTGGTGGGGTATTCTCACACTAGCCACAATTTGATAATGTTGCTCAGCTCAATACTTTCATTAAGTCAGTTTTTTGGAGAAAAACCTGGATGAAATCAGTAAATATCTGAAATGGCTTTAAGCCTACTTGCCTAAGCAATTAGTGAAGTTCTCTCCCCCATTCTAGGGGTAACCTGATAGAATTCAGGATTCATTTCAGCCAAGTATCACTCTTCATATGTTCAATTTTATGAAGGATTCTTCAAACAAGAAAAAAGCCACGTCTTAGCAATAAACTAAATTTTGGAATTAGTAGATGATAATAAACTACACCATGCATCATACCCTAATTTATGTTTCAATCTACACTTCATCAATGAGAACTGCACTCGTTTAATAAAAGCCTGGAAAAGCTTAGAGGAGACCAAGTTACGACTTGTATATATTGTGTACAACTTAATGGAAGATTTAAAGCATTACCTTCATAGAGGTAGGTCAAAAACAACATTTGATATAGAAACTCTGACTGTCTTCTGTTTGAACTGGAAAGCATAGAGAGGATTAAGTTTACATCAAAATTTGCAGGATGTATTCAGTACAGCACTTTCAAAGTTGAACAAATGTTTGGATACTTATCCATTGTATGAGTTTTACAAATCAACTTGTCTGTTCGATCCTAGACAAATAACATGGATTAGGCATGACATTGACAGTTTTGCAGTCATCAAAGATTTGCAAGATCCATCTACTGAATACTTTCAAGAATTTCAAATTAATATAAACTACAAAGATGAGCTACCAAATGCCTTCAGCATTCTGAAGTGCCAATAAGAGCAGATTTCCAATTCTGCCACAGATTGTTACTAAAGTTATTTAATTTTTTTTTTGTAATCTGTATGGTACTTTTCTGTAGGTTTTACCACTTTCACTTAATTCTTATTTAAGATTATAGCATTATTTGCAAAGGTTCTTTCGAAAACTCATCAACTTAGAGATCAAGGGCAGAAGCATAAGGTACAAAAAAATCCTATCAAGCTGGAACAACTTAATGGGTGGATGTTCCATCTTGTAAAATGTTTAATTTTCCTTTTATTTTCTTAACATTTATTGTTACACTTTCTCACTAAATATTATAATGAAGCAAAAACAGAAATCTTCAGAGTTAACATATTGTGTGAAAATTTGGAATAATAGCTTAAAACAGGTGTAGTCTTTTTCAAAATAAGTATATTTTTTATTATACATATTTGTTCCTTGTATTTATTCAAAATACGTAACAGCCGGAAATCAGTGTGCATATCATCAAGTCATGTGACACATTTAAAGTAGTTGTTCATAAAAAAAAGTTATAAAATATAGTCTGCAAGTGTTTGTTTATATACGTGGATTGATAAGAATGTGTATCAATAACAAATACAAATAAAAATGCTGTAAAAACAGAAAAACGGTCCTAGGTAAGAAAGAACCCCTTGTCTAATTTTAATGAAATTTGGCACTACACTCAGCAGCGGTTCAAGGTATGTCCCTAAATTGGTTGGAGTAGTGTTTAAGCTATATATTGGGAACACACATACATAAAAAATTAGCATTTTTATGTAATTTATTTAATAAATCAAAAAATCTTTTGGTCTTTCTCCTTTTTGGCAATAAAACCTTGTTTTTTTTGGTGGGGGGGTGTTTATCAAGCTTTGGGCAGTTTTTCATGTTCATTTTTAGAAAATCAATGGAGGTAAATAAATGAGAGAGAGAGAAAGGACAAGTGTCCTTTGTTATTCAACACCCACTCTTGTTTACAGAGGATTTATTTAAAGGAAGACTTATCTTCAGTAGTCACCGCTTTTGTTTCCTAAGGGAAGTGTTTATCAACAATTTTTACATAATACTAGTTTTAAAAGAAAAGAGACAACCAAAACTGTACAATACAAACAAAATAACACTTTGAATAATGCGCTATGAATTGTTTTAGCAAGAAAAATATCATTTTTTTTTAAGTTAAAATTTTACAGAAGTAATAAAGAGAAAGTGCTCGTAAATTTTTTTTGTTGTTGTTTTACTAAAACCGTGGTGTTTAACAACCACTACGCTTTGTTGGTCATCCACAACAAAGTTTGATGGCAGGGAAAATGATCACTCCTATGAAGAGAGAAACGAATCTACAAAGATAATCTGACAGAATTAAAAAAATGTCTAATCAATTTCTGATTTATGACTGATAATCAAAATTCAAAATCGAACAATCCAGAACACACACAAAAAAAAAAAATACATTGGTATTGATTGAATATTGACTGACTATTGACTTATTGACATTTTTTCTTACTCAACAATCGGACAATAATAATAAAAAAAATTCATTAATTAATATATATTCTCTGAAATGGGCGAGTTATGCTAGCTCAAGTGTTTTCTACAAGGGAGAAATGTGAGGGATCTGTTTTTCTATTAGGTAAATAATAAAACTGGACCCCGACTTTTTACGAGAAATAAACAAAGATGAGGTCATATTTCCATCGAAAGAGGTTTTTATCTCACAAAGTCACAAAGAGACCAAATTATTATTACTGATATTTAATAGTCAATAGTTTATTATACTTTTTGTAGGCTATGAACAAAGTGTGTTGTTTTGTTCGAACCTTCTTTTTTAATAAATTGAAAACTGAAAAGTGATTCCCGATTTTCATTAAAAAAAAAAAAAAATCGCTGATTTTAAGCAAATAACGACGATTTTTTTTTAATTTAATAAATAACAAGTTTAAAATGATTTTTTAACACAACTTTAAAAAAAAATTATTTTAAATTTTTAAAAAATACTTTCATTTTTAAAAAAAAATCTTTTTTTTAAAAGGTCAATGTTTTTTGTTTATAATTAAATTATCATAACAGTAAAAAAAGCAATTCTAAAAGTATTTTTTACAGTAAAAAGAACATTTTTTTTATTTTCGTGGTCGAGGAAGAAAAAAAATCCGGAATTTTCAGAACGGATGATAAAAAAACTCTTCTTTGTTTTTGTTTTTACAGTCACTACCTAGTAGAAGAATTCTAGAGATGAGACCAAATTATTATCGTAAAACTATCTGTTTAAAAGCTAACCTTTAATATTTAATAATAAATTATGTTTCTCAGCAGAAATAATTTGTTTCTGTTGAATCAAACAAAATAAAAGTGAACAGTAAAAAAAAAAAAAAAAAAAAAAACAGTTTTTTTTTTAGTTACAGAACTAAAAAGCGCTGTCAAAGCAAAAAAAACAAAAATGACTTTTTTTCTGGGAATAAACTAAATATACAATTACAAAAAGCAAACAAACATTTTTATTGACTAAATGCGTGTTTTTTTTTTTCATATTTGTTTTTTTTTTTAACTTAAGTTTTATTTACGGTTGTTTCCTTAAGATTTTTGGGAAAATGGGTCAACAAATCTTATTTTTACTTTTTTACTTAAATAAATTATTGAATTTTATAATAAAATTTTTATTACTAGAAGTTTTACACGACAAAGTTGTATTTTTATTCAAATTAACAAATAAGAAAGTAGCTATTTTCTTTTTGATATGATCAAAAGTCAAAACGTTAAGTTAAAAAAGTAAAAGTGTAAAACGAACAAAAACCCAAAACTCTTGTCTTGTCCTTGTTCTTTAAAAAAAAAAAAAAGGAAAGAAAAATCAAGTAAAAACGGCCCAGTTTGTAAAAATTGGTAAATTCCAAACTTATTTTTAATTAATGAATTTTACTTTTAAAAACTCTTTCTTTACATTTTGTTTTGTTTGACACAAGAAACAGAAGATATGTGTTCGCATTCTTTTTTTTATTATAATTAAAATCATTTTTTTTTTAAATTTTGGAGTTACTTATGTAATGGGAGGGGTAATTTTTAAAAATGATTAAATGAGTTATAATCAGTTATACAACTACACGACAACACCAAGTGATTAAAGAAGAAAGAGGAATAAATTTAGCAAATTCAATATTATTTGTTGCATGAATTAATTAGTTGTTTTTTTTTAAATATTTATTTTTCAGAAATTCGAAAGAAATATTTGTTGACGGGAAATAGTAATTTCTTCAGAACACAAACTCACCAACAAATTCTCGTCCTCGTCGACCAATTTAAAGCAAGTTGATTCTTGTGGGTCGACTATTTTCTTGTGGTTGTCCGAATTGAGGCCCAACTTGTTGGGGTCACCCCCTAATTCAGTAAGACAAACGTCTGGGATGCTGTGGATACTAGAATCGGAATGGGCACTGGAAAAGGACATTTCTGGGTTGTTTGTCATCGGATCTTCTGGACCTGCTTCGTGAGCTGTTTGAAACGATAAAGATTCTTGAGGAAGACTAACGTAAGTCAAAGAATCATCATTATCACCAAGAGGAGACAATGGTTTGATCACCTGATGTGATGGTCTTTTAATATTTCCAGAACAACGACTGGAAGGGCCCGTAATTGTTGTTGTCTGCGGTTTTAAGAGTAATGTAGCTGGTTGTGACGATCCAGAATGTTGTGGGAGTTCCCCGGTAATGTCTTGTTTTGTTTTGTTAGGGCTTTGGTCCAGAGTTGTTAAGGATAGTACTTGGAGCTGTTGCTGTTGTTGTTGTAGTCTTCGTTCGTAATCACGAAATCTTATCCGTTTGTGCTGTTGTACTTGAGGGCCGCCAGCCCCAAGTCTTCTATTCGAATTGCTGCCGACAGAAGGACCAGAAATGTTGCTGATATTGTTATTATTAGATGAAAGAGAAGACAGATTGTTGATGTTAAGGGTTCGGTGTAACGTTTCGTTGCACTGGTTGCATAAATTCAATTTACAGTCGTCGCAGTGGACATCGGCGTAATTCTGACCCGGACAGGATGTATTACCGCAGAGTTTCGACGACGGTGGGGGCACTAGCAATCGTCTTTCGTGACACAAGAACTTGGAGTCTCGGTGTATTTTTCTTTCGCAATGTCGACACTGGAAAGTGCCGCATTTGTCGCACCTGAAGCTGGCCTGGGTCCGATCCTGCGGACAACACAGCCGTTCTTGGCAAATCACTTTTGATGATCGAACCTTCGACGATGACACGGATGAAGAAGCCGTCGACGACGTCAAGGTAGAGTGAGAGATCATCATTTGCTACCCCAGAAATAAGTCTTGGGTGTGATAATCGCTGTTTTCTGTCAGTTCGATTCTTCGTCTTCGGATTCTTGTTGTGTTTCGAAGAGCAGCCATCTTCTTCGCTTTTACCTCGTTTTCAAATAACAAAAAAAAAACTGATAAATAATTTTCACAGCCGCAGTTTCGTAAAAATATATTTTTTTTTTAAATAAATAAAAAATATATAGTTTAAATTAATTAAATTCAATAAGATTTAATTAAAGTAATAGGGAATTATTATATTTCACCTTATCTAAAAAAAAAAAGAAACATGTTGATAATTTAGTGGGTACTACAAAAAAAAATGATTTGCCGAGCACTACACAAATAATTGTGATTTAAACTACTTAGTCATTTAGGCCAGTTCTCGACTGCTACGACTATTATTAAAGGCGCCTGCTATAGAGCAATAGTTAGCAAATCCGTTTTCTGAAAGTAAGTATAGATTTCATTTCGATCTTCATTCTTCTACCCTGAAGATATGATCGTAAGTGTCGTGGTTTATTTTAGTAATTTATTTTATTTGTATTATTAAAAAAAATAAAGTGGTTTTATCAGCCAGTCATTGTTAATGTTATTGTTGTTACTTTGTACTCATCTGTTGTTGTTGTTTAACAACAATAACAACAGTCTCCCTTCGTTTCTCTCCAGACTTTTTAGCGACAGTGAGCAAAAACTCATTGCTAGTGAATTAAATCCTCACAGCTCAGGCAACCTTTTTTTTTTTCTTTTTTTTTGCTATAGCTCTGTGCCGGATGGAAATAAACTTTATTTGGGTGGCGTTTGCGGTATGCCATTATTCTTATTGGTTAATAATAGGTTTCTCTGTGAGAAAGAGATCCTTAAAATAAAAATGCAGAACCGGAGAGGAGGATTTTCCAACTGTGTTGACACTACAGTTTCTCTATCATAGGGCCACGGACCCACAAAACTGAATTAAAATAAATCAATTTTGTTTTTTTTGAGTGATAAATTTATATACAACAGATTATCATTCAAGAATTTTATACGGTCAGCTTAAAAAATAGCAATTCAATTAGTATTTTACTAGTGTGAAACAGAAACGAAAAAACAATAACAAACATGAATATTTTTTTCAGGAGTGCAAATATCTTTGATGCATCTTTAAAGTATTATCCAACCTTGTTTGCCAGGACGCCCGCTAAGTGCCGTATTCAGGACTATAAAAGAAAATTAATGACAAAGTGGAAAAAAATTCACCTATAATAATTGCCTCCTCTTTTATTGCTTATTCACAGTGATGCGGTACGTAGAAGACGTCTCCAGTAATCCCTACTGGAGGAGATTTATTTCCCCGACAAACCGACTTCTTATTTTCACACAACCACGTAAAGTTTTAAATCTAGATGTTAATTTTGATTTAATGTCAATAAGATTCATTGTGTAAAAGAACTGCATTGACATTTTTAAAAATATTTTTTTACATGTGATTTGTATTTATGACTTGAAAAATAAAATTTTCAAATTATAAACAACAGGCTATCGCTTCTTTTTTTCTCCTTTACTTTTAATTGTTTTACTTTCTTCATTGTTACCACCATGTCTGTACAAATATTTTTCATATATATATATATATATAAAATTATCGTAATGTTGCGGTAAATATATATTATACTCGAATTACAGATTTTTAATTTTTAAAATAAACGGGATTTGTATATATATATATGTAAGAGAAAAACTTTTTAGAATTGAAAAACAAAAACAAGCCGTAATATACCTAAAAAATAAAACGTAATCTATATTAAAAATTAATCTGAATCAACGTATTTAAGCAGATATCTATTTTTATGCCTCCATGTAACCATCAATTCATTTCCCTTGTTTAATTAGCAATCATCAGGCCACGTCTAGCATGAAACAGCCTGTCGTCTCTGACTGTTGACTTCAATGTTCACTTTTATATTTACATACGCTCTATCTCTTATATTGAGCACTTTATCCCATAAATATAGCTTAAAACTATATTTCTTCATAATTATTAATAATATAAATTATAAGCTCTTTTATCGAACACTATTTTATTAACACGAGCATTCAATGTGCAATATATATATATATATATATATATATATATATATATATATATATATATATATATATATATATATTCCCAGATGAATTCTGTGGACAAGACAGATTGGTATAAAATAACGAAACGCGTCGGCAAAATCTAAGATTTTTTCCAATTGTCATTTTATACCATATATATATATATATATATATATATATATATGCTCTCACCTAGCATATTAAATATTAAATATCACCATATTAAATAACCAATAAGGATTACAAACCGAAATTTCTACCTGTTACATATACACAGTCATCAAAAACAAACAAATAACCAGCTTTAAATATAACAAATAAACCCCTTTTTTTTCAAAAATTTAAAAATAAATATAAATAATAATAATTTTTACCTATCATAATTTTACACAAACCCCACCACACGTATATACATACATGCGAGGAAATATTATTCAGTGGAAAAATAAAAATATGACATGTATACATTCACGAGAAATTTTCGCTACACTTCCAATCTTTGAATTTCAACATACAAATGCGTATGTATAGACACAACACCACCCGTATACACACATATGTCATATCCGAAACTACCCACACATGTTTATATATGTATGAGTCCCGACGGACGACCAAGTATGTATATGTGTCTGCGTACTCCATTAGGCGTATGAACATACATCGATGTTTGGGTTAGTACGATGACACAATGACGATGTTTCCCCCACCACTTCCATAATAACACCAATACACGCAATCTACATAAACCCAAAATTAAAAAAAAAATTAATCAGTTTGTCTGACGATCGCTAAAGCGTGAAACCCAGGGTCACAAATTCACATCTATCCAACCATATATATATATATATATATATATATATATATATATATATATATATATATATATATATATATATATATATATATAAGGAACTTTCCCGTCGTTTTCGGCGTATGTGTGTCTTTCAGTTTATGTCTCGTATAAGACAACAATCCTGAACGCAGAACATAAATGTAGACTGCCCACACATTTGTTTAGAGTGGTGAAGGCCACACTTTTTTTTGAAGAGCCGAATAGGAAAGGACCCTCCGCAGGTTTTGAATTTGTCCTTCTCCTAGACCAGTTGCCATCCAAGGCTATAGAACCCAGCCTGTCCTGCTTTTTACCTAGCTACTGGTAAATAGCAGGACAGCACGTAACTGAATGCAATGGATTCGACTGGAATTCGGACGCGGCTCTCCGATTCCTGAACTCGAGACGCTATTCATTATGCTCCTCACACACACACACACACACACACACACACACACACACACACACACACACATATATAAGAGGAAACCCCATTTGTAGATCATATATATATATATATATATATATATATATATATATATATATATATATATGGGAGATATATAAATTTTGATATGCCACATAGTGTTAGGAAAATTAATGGCAAACTGGGAAAATAATTCACCAATAATAATTGGCATAAGGAATACATAAGAGGATCCCAGAGGAATTTAAATAAAAGATTATATTAACACAAAAGGGATCTTTTACAAAATAACACACTTAAGGCATTAGTTACTGTGTGATGAGTATGACCATGATTTAAAATGCTACTTTAATTAAAAGAATGTACTAAAAATGTACTAAGACGAAAGTGTATAGAAAGTGCTTCAATCGCTAGAACATCCACAATAGATCTGCGTCCAGGTTCTTACAATATTCCGCCTTTCTTGACAGATCTTCTATTATCACAATGTGGAATACTTAATAACAAAATAAAAACAACAAAAAGAGAAAGAAACTAAATTACTATTTTTCATTTCGTCACAATTAGGTCTCTTTCTGATTCATTCTGTACGATGGCCGGATGTAAACGCCACGAAGGCAGAAAACAAAAAAAAAAAGTCGTCTTCTGTGCATTAGGCTCCACACATCACATTCGGCCTGCGAAGCGAGCTCCGGCACTAGCTAATTGCGAACGTTCTCACTGAATAGAGAGAACTCCAACTCCGCAACCAAGTGACTCCGACTCCGCAATCAAGCCACTCCGATTCCACAAAACAAGAGACCCCGACTCGGCAAAACAAACAACTCCGACTCTGCAAGAATGCAACCCACACGACACAACAACATGATGCCAATCCGACGTCACCCCGGTTCAACACAACAGCTCTACCAACCAACAAAACGACCCACCACAGTGAACTCGTTCAACCAAATGTGCACCGACCATATCCTGTGACCTCGGCCAGGCCAGCACAAGAAATAGGTCAACTCACGGTGCTACGCTTACACCAGATCGCCATCCCGACGATCGGCCCTTGAAACGGACATTCCACACATCCTTCAACGTCTCTGAACAATGAAAATTGTTCAAAATTTAATCCTCGTTATTCCTTTCTCTCGCTACCAAACGTTTAATATAACAGCTAGACTATATATTCAAACACATATTAAAAAAAATAAATTTAAATCTTTAAAATTTTAGCGTCCCTCCCATTTGTGCGCGTGTGTGGTCCCAGCAACGTAAACATCACTTTCATCCGATGAAGTCCTAAATGATGAAAAATGTTACACGAAATTTTTTTCCACTTTGTCATTGACTTTCATAATACATATATATGAATGAGATAACAATAAATTTTTATATATCAAGAACAATTTTGGAGGAAAGATGTATGACAAAGTGAAAAAAGTTTCCATGTGATGCGTTTCGTCCCTTAGGACTTCGTCGGACTAATTTGTTTACATTGATGCGATTACATATGCGCACGAACGAAAGATTCTGGAAATTTTCAATTTAAAAAAAATTTTTTTTAGTATGTGTTTTGGATATATAATCTAGCCAATTTCATTTAGATTTTTTCTTTTTGTTTCCATCATCTTTGATATTAAATATTCCACA